AGTATTGCCTATCATTGCCTTCAACACAATAGTAGTTTTGACCCAATTTATTTTCAACTTTCTCTATAGTGTAAATATTCTGTGACCAATTTGCGACTCTTTCTTTTTCGTTTGGCTTTCGCTTCTTAAATATTTTAACCTCGTCCCCGACATCCAAATCTGGATATACGCGGTTCTTCTTTCCCTTCATCGTTAAGTTTAACCTCACTTTAACTTCATTGCTAGGCAAGCATCTCGGCTCAAGGGCCGGCGTCGGTGTGGGCTTCCCTCTTCTTGGGGGTTTTGGGGGCCTTTCTTCTTCGGGGCTGTTTGCGGGCTTTGCTTGGTTTTCCTTGCCCTTCGGGCTCTGGGTTCTTTTCAGTGAACGGCCTTGCACCGTTATGCAAGCATGGCGGCTGCCTCAGCTTCCTCTTGCACTGCTGATATGCTGGAGTGCGCGCCTCATGGGCGTAATAAAATCTCTCGTGTTGCCTGGTGGAATTGGGAAGATGCTCTGCATTGGTTTGTTTTTCATCTTTCCATGGAGCTATATTTAGAACACATCAGAGACCTGCCCTGGACGGCAAAGTGCTCCTTGCATGATCGATATTATATCAGCTGGAAGCCCTGCTCTCCCATGTACATCTGGCAGGACCTGTGGCCTCTTCTGGGACCAAAGCAACGAATACTATATATTCGTAGAACAGAATTTTTCAATGCCGAGTTCTGTGTTTGTATGGTTGATGCTGCTTATGCCGCGACCCTCGGTACAGCCTCGCCCCTGGATGGCGCATGGACTAGCAGGGGGCCGTGGAAGGCCTGGAGAAGGTTTTCCTTTGTGCTGTTCATAGGACGCAGTTTAGAGGGAGCACGCCGCCTCTTTCGAAGCGGCTATCATGGACGGACTGCTGACTTTGGCCACGCTCTCCTTGCATGTTTTCTGCCCCTCGCTGTGTTGTCTTGCATTTTGGCTGGTATGATTGCTGCAGTTGGCATAGCGGCCTGTCTTTGTCAGCCGGCTCAAGCAAGTATATCACATTACGTGCTTTGCCGGGAGCTTTGCAGTCAATGTCCCATTTGGACGATCTGCCTCACTGCATACGGGTTAACCTTAGCCGCAACCAGGTGGCTATGGCTTCAGACTCGCCTCCACCTCGACCTTTGGAGGAGTCCACCGAGGCAACAGAGCCTTCAAGCAGCTCTAGAGTGGATCGCAGCGGGCGAAGAGGTCCCTCAAGGTCCCGACGTGCACGACTACGACCTAACCCGGCCTCCGAAAGCAGACCCTCCAGAGATATCCTGGGTGCACCCAGGGGCCCTCCTCCTCCTAGGCCTGTGGATGATCCGCTCTTCCCGGCAGCCGCTGAACTGTCTGACCGGCCCTCGCCCTGCTCTGCGTGTTCCTCCTTTGACTCGTCTGATATTGACTATAGAGAGGATATGCGAAGGCGACGGCAGAACCCAGCCTGGCTTGGAGATGACAATACGGCCAGACGAGAGGCTTTGGCTCGGGATAGAACCCGAAAGGAGTCCCCTGCAGCGGCTGCAGAAGAGGAGGCTGGAGAGGAGGCAGAATCTGAGGAAGCTGAAGATGATCCTTTCGCCACAGACTTCCGAAGGGATGAACATCATCGGAGGCTTGACGATGATAGATCCTCCACACCTACCAGCCTTCGCTCTCCCAGGGAAACAGATGAAGCAACAGGCTGCGACACGACACACGATGATCTTCCTGCCAATGCCTTCTTCAGTGATTCTAGCCCTGAAGGCTTGGGATTTGAGGCACAAACCCGCGATTGAACTTGCGAAGACTGTTGCGGAGCACAAAAGAGACTGCATGGCGCTTTGCTATCTGCTGTTCGGGCTCTACAAGATCATGATTGCCTTTGTCCGCCAGGTCGCAGTTCTCTACTACATGATCACCTCCGCGGCTGTGCCACTTATCCCCGCAGGCGGGTGGCCACAATGGATTCACCGGCCCTGCTGTGCTCCAAACCTCTCAGGCCCCCACGTTTGCTTCACCTCAACAACGACGCCCTTCTCTATGCATACAATGATGAGCCGCGTGGGTCCCAAGTCCCACGGCTGTTGTCGCTTGTTAAGATGCCCCCAGTCAATTTTGCTTTTCTGGTTGATTATACATTGCATGATCACAAGCGGACATGCGGCAGCAGCAGATGCGAGGGTTGCACCTCGTGTCCCATGGGGTGCTGAAGCCTCAGGCAATGCCTGGGGCGAAGTCAGTGGACCAACCGCGCCCTCTACTTATGTTTTTTCGCATTCTTTTTCAGGCCTGCCACCATCAGATTTTCATAGCAGACGGGTTCAGGTTCGGAAAAGAGCCTTCGCACGGGCAGTTCGTCGAGCTGCACAGGCGCCCGACCACAGCACACAGTATCGTGGAAGACGCTGTGTACTCAGAGGATCCTATCAGCTGGAAGCCGCCCCCTCCAGACCAACTGCCAATACCCGTGCAGGTGGTCGCTTTTCGCGACGAGCCACCAGAACTCGCCTCCGCAGCATTACCTTGAGCATCGGGGGCTTGGACACGACCACCTATGACACTTTCATGCAATGGTTGCCGAATGCACCTTACGATGTTGTTTGTTTGCAAGAAATCCATCATGGACTAGGCAAGGAATCAACACAATGGGTTGCAGCTGGTTGGAGGTTTATCACGACGGTTGACCCCAAAACCAGATTTCAAGGCGTGGCCGTGTTGATTCGAGATTCTCTGTGTGACAATGGCGAGCTGCACTTCCAGGAGACCGTGACGGGAAGGATCCTACATGTCAGACTTCAGAAGGCGCATCATTCTATTGACATTATTGGGATCTACCAACATGCTCTGCATCTGGAGGCGCGAAAACAAAACCTTCATCAGCGACATCAACTGTGGGACCAACTAGGCAGGCTGCTTCATTCGATACCCCAACGTAGCCTCTTGGTTTTGATGGGTGATTTCAACTGCACTCCGGCACATGTACCAGGCTCTGTGGGTACCGAATATGCCGCGGCAGTCAAGTACCCAGATGCAGGTGAGTTTGCGGCCCTCCTTGAGGCTCACAGTCTTGTTGTTCTCAACAGCTGGGTTAGACATAGACATCAGCATACCTTTGTGGGTGCCAAGCATCAGTCCACCATCGACTTCACACTTACACGAAGGCATCATGCAGATGGACTTGCTCGACAGGCCAGGCCGCATCCTCATATCAATTTCAGTCCTTGGCGCCTGGGCGGCAGGCACCTGGCGATCGCATCCAGCATTCCGCTGCACCCTGGGTGGACTTGTGCCTCAGTACGCCGACCTGCGCCTCAGACACGGTACAATAAGATGGGATCAGGAAGCCAGACTCGGCGGTCCTCGTATTCAAGCCCTTCGCACAGCCCTTCAAGAATACCTGCACCAGGTACGTGATCCTTCCCCTGAACTAGTCAACAAGTTTTTGCTGCACAAGGTCATTTTCCTCTTCCCCAAACAACCGACGCCCAGAGAGCCCAGAGCTTGGCAAATGCCAGTGGTGCAAGGAGCTGTTTCCACCATGTGGCAGGCCAGACGTGAGCTTCGACAGATACGACAGGTGCATTGCGCAGCACTTCGAGCATGCATGGAGGCTTTCAAGAAGTACACTGTTTTCATCAGGGCCTACAAACTTCTCAAGCAGCAAGGCAAGACGGCCCGCAAGGCACTTCTCAACAAAGAGCTCGCCCTTGCAGCTGAAGCCGCTCAAAGGCGTGATGTTGGACAACTACATCGTATTGTTCGAAGGCTGGCTCCCAAATCCAAACACACAGCTGTTCGCATACATGGACCTCAGGGGGAAATTCTGCGAGATGCTGAGGAGCACCACACCATTGTTCGGCACTTTGAGCAGCTCTTTCAGTCTCTTCAAGAGCCGGAACCAAACAACATTGTGCTGAGTACCACACTGCAGGTCACAGAGAAAGATCTCTATGAGGCGCTCCAACATACCAAGTATGGAAAGGCTGTTCCGAGATCCTCAGCTCCTTCCAGTGCAGTCAAGTGTTGTGCAGACCTCCTGGCACAGGCACTGGTGGGCTCAGTGAACGCCAGCCTGAATGGGCAGTCTACTCCGGAGCTGTGGTCGGATTGTCATCTTGCACTAATCCCGAAACCTCAGAAACCGGCCAAAAGACCTGAAAATCTCAGGCCGTTAGGACTACAGGACTGCGGCGCGAAGGCATACGCCCGACTCATCAAGCAACAACTCCTACGCGAAATCAGTCCTCAGCTCCTGAGCCAGCCGGTTTTTGCCTATATTCCACATCGTGGAACCGATGACGCCATAGCTCGTGTCATAGACCACTGCAATTGGGTCCGTGACCAGCACCAGAGGAATGTGTCCAACGTACACACACATCGCCTCCAGAAGCCCAGGCCGGATACACATGGGGGAATGCAATTAGCAGTTGACCTTTCTACTGCTTTCGATCTCATTCCTCGTTCTGAGCTGGCGGCTGCTTTAACATGGGCAGGAACGAGTTCTAACCTTATTGCGGCTATATTGGATTTACACTCTGTTTGCCGCTACACCATTGAACACAAAGGACACACTGCTCGTGTTCATATGCGCCGAGGCGTTCGCCAGGGGTGTACGCTTGCACCACTTTTGTGGGTTGTGTTCAGTGCCTACATGACATATCAACTTCAAGAACACTTACCTGCACACTGGATTGAAAATCATTTGACACTCTACGCCGACGACACCCACGCGAGCTTCCACACCAACAGTGTAGACGACATCAAATTCGCTTTTCGTGCTATCAGTACCCTCTTTAGAGTATATCGTCGGCACGGAATGCAAGTAAACCCCCTCAAGTCAGGCGTGGTTTTGGGAGTGCGCGGACTTCGGGCCAAAGAATTTTTGAAAGCCCACACTCAGGAACAGAACGGGCAGAGCCACTTGCTGATTGGCATCGGCACAGACGAGCTACGCATCCCAATCAAAACCATTTCCTATGGCAACTATGAACAAGAAACACTGGAGGCCCGACTCCGCATTGCCCAGGCCACTCGTTGTCGGCTTGCTAAGGTGCTGAATGCTCGTAAATATCTTACACAACAACAACGAGTACAGCTCTACACTCTGTGTGTCAGATCGGCTGCGCTATATGGACTTGGGGCGGTAGGACTGCATCAGGCTAGCCTACGTAAACTGCATCAGTTTGAAGCACGGCACCTTAGAGCCCTTGTTCGCTCCCCTGTGCATTTGACGCGAGAATCTACACAGCAACTGTACAAAAGATTGAAGCTTAAACTACCTGGACACCAACTGCTACAAGTGCTGCGGAACCAATCTCGCCGAGCGAAACATGATGAACATGGATATAAGGCCTGGCTTCACAGTCGTGCATCGAGATTGTCGGACTTACTGTGCTTGCAGCAGTCTGGTCTTCGCGAAGTTGAGGTGCATCAGGAATTAGCCTGTCCTACATGTGGTCAATATTTCAGCACACTCAAAGACCTTCGGCAACATCATACCAAGACGCATAAAGTTCGACTACAGCAACGCTCGCAAGGACCAGCTGCACGCCTGCATGGCCTGAGAACTCAAGATCGTTGCCTTGAACACATGCCTATTTGTAAACACTGTAAAGCGAAGCTCGCCAACTGGCATAACTTCAGGGTGCACATTCTCACTAGCTGTCCTGTCCTGCATGCACGTGAGGGGAGCTCTCAGGGGGGGTCTGCTAAGCAGCACGCTGCGGGACTCAACTCTGAGCTTGGATCTGCTTTGCAGCTCGCTGCGGGATCCAGGGCAGACACTGAAACCACGGAGACAGCTCCTGTTGTGGAGCGCCCAGCCGTTGTGCAGCTGATCTCCACAGTCGATTGGAAGTCTATACTATGCTTGGATGGCATAAAAGAGCACCTTCGTAATCATTGTGCTTTCTGCTCTCAGTGGCTGTCGTCGGCACCCGGTGCGCTCAACAAGCACATCATCTCTCTTCACCCTGAAATTGCATGCCTCAGGAAGGACGCTGTGGCTCAAAGCATTACCCTTCGCGAGGGTAAACAACGGCCCTGTGGAGCTTGTGGTGCGCGGCCCCTACACCGTACCCAGCATCGATGCAGAGTTCTCTATCAACTTTGCTTGCTACCGCGTGCCCACCTTCAGGCTCTTCGCGGCATTGCCTGCATCAGCCATAGCCTCAGCTCCCTTCATGGAACAGAGAGGAGCAGAGGCCCTGCAGGAAGTCCGCCAGATGTTTCCACATCTTGCGGCAAGGACGGGGCAACCGGAGGCGCCGGATGCGGACATGAGTGCAGCCCCAATCCTGGGACGCCGAGACCGGGAGGAGAACTCACAGGAAGCCCCGGAGAAGTACCCGAGGCCAGCAGGCGAGGGCCAAGCTCCGCCGACGGGGAAAAGTGCGGCGGGGGAAGCTTCAACCACTGCTCCCGTGACGGGGGACCCGGCACCGAAAGCTGCAGCGAGCTCGCCGGCTCAGCAACGATTGCAGCAGGGGCAGCAGGCGGGAAAGACCAACAGCGGCCGAGTACGGCAGTGGACTCAGGAGGAGTGGGATTCCTGGACAAGCTGGGGGCAAAAAAAATGGGAGCTCACCACGAAGGAACTTCAGAGAGAAGTCGAAAACCTTCGGGAGAACGTTCGACTCCTAGCCCGCATCTCAATGCGGCACGAGGACGAGCTGAGCCAGAAGAGGACCGAAACGGACTTTATCCTCACACTGGAGGTAGCTCCAGCCGATGCCACCCCGGACCAGGAAGGCCTACTGGAGCAGCTATACAAAATGACGGTCGAGTGGAAGACCAAGCAAGAGCAAGGAAAGGTCAACAACTCCTTGCGACTTACTTTGTTCATCGGCCTCCTCATGTACTACGAACTCAAAGTCCACGAGGCGACAGCCTCAGCCGAATCCCTGGAGCATCTGGCTCAGCTGGGGTATCTTCGACAGCTGGAGGGAAATCCAGTCTGGAACTACCTGCGATGGAGCTACGACAAGGAGGAATTGGAAACATCCGAGCAGCCTCCATTGCCGGATGCGGAGCTCCGCTCCCTGCTGACGGTTTTGAAGACCAGCATCGGTGCCCCCGGCGTTTTGCTCCGATTCCACAGCTCGAGGAAGTTGGTGGAGCAGCACAAGTCGGCGGTGACCTTCTTTCTGGGAATCGGAATGAGGGATCCGCAAGCCCTCATCTGTTACCGGGCCCTGCAGCAGCTGTGCTTCAGCTCGAGCACCCAGCTGATCAAGATGAGGCTGAAGCCGGTCAAGATGGAAAGGCAGCCCCTTGTGAAGATCCTCCAGGAGAAGTTTCCAGCGCCGCCCGCTCGAAGCGAGGAGCAGCGAGTGACCTTCCTGGCTCGAACTCAGCAGCAGTGGCGAAAGGGGAAAGGTCGAGGCAAGGGCAGCCAGCAAGAGGGCAGAGGCCGAGGCAGCAACGATCACCAGGAGAGGGAGGAGAAGTCCTTCAAGAGCCAATGAGCCGACTTTCGGCTCTGGCTGCCAGACCCATGCTCAGACTTTCACTTGCCAATCCGCATCAGCTTTGCTATGCCAATTCTACAGTACTCTCCTTTCTATGGATGGGCTTGGTACAGATGACCTGTCCAGGAACAGATCCGTCAATGTACTTTGGTATGCTCACGCCTCAGTGCCTTCAACTCCTTAAGCATGAGTCCGCTGGGCTGCTGCAATATCCTTCTTGGAGGACATTGCTGATGGAATGGCGGCCGGTTCTCAACGAGCAGCAAAATGCTGCTGAATTTTTGGCTTTTGTTTTGGCACGTGCGAGGTCGTCAGCTTACCAAGGCAGATGGCAGAGCAGATATATGGTTCGGAGTTTGAGCTTTGTTGGCGACCAAGGACATTGTTTGCCACCACTTGCATTGGAAATTCATCCAGATGGTTTGCAGGCCAGTATTACAGCATGGCATAATCAGCATTATAAGCATGCTTTTTCCCAGGCGCCGACCCTTCTTTACCTACAACTCAAGCGGTACACTCGGCAGGATGGAGCAATTCATAAGATTATGACTTTCTTTGACTATCAGGTGAGCACTGCCGTTCGGCTTCCTGTCTTCAGTTCTGCCACTGGCTTGGTGGTGGAATGGGTTTCTTATGCAGTTATCAGTGTGGTGATCCATACCGGACAGTCGGTCCACTCAGGCCACTACCAAGCTTTGCTGAGTGGCTTCCGAAAGCATCCGACAGCCCCGCGCTGGACTAGTATGATTACAGATGATGGCAGACCTGCTAAGCCTTGTTCGGAGCAACAGCTACAACATGCATGCTGCAACTGCTATTTGCTGGGTCTGCAGATGGCGGACTGATCGGATGCCTGGATAATAGGAGCACCGCCTGACTCACTGCTCTGAGCCCTCGTTTACTTTGCACATGCTGTAATCATGTTTTCACCGCTTTACATTTGATAATGTTTGCTGCCTCGCTTGGTCACTCGTGACGGAGGCGTGTGCTTGTGTCCGCTTTGCCACACGTGGCGGGACACTCTTAGTTTGTCAGCGAGAATGCACTCAGTGCAATAGGGCGTTGTGCAGCTTATGCCGAGCTTTTAAGGCTTGTTCTCGAGCGGTCGCAAAGCGTCCTTCAGACCGGACGCTGCGTGTTGAATGAATGAATGAATTCATTGCTAGGCTTTCGCGCCTCTTTTGGTGTAAATCCGGTTGCCGAGTGTTTCATCCTGTCATTGTATGTTAGTAGTATCTCAAATA